TCCTCCTCTCCCAGCTTTTGTTGGGAGCAGCTCTGGTCCTGCTGAGCCCCAGCAAGCCAGGGCAGCTCCTCACAAAAGCCCTTGGCTGGGAAAGGGAGTCCCCAGGGTGTCCCCAAGGCTGTTGTGGGGGACACAGGGACAGGAGGAGCTGCTGGTGGGAGCTGTCCCTGCCAAAGGAAAAGGGGGAGATGCTGCCAAGACATCTCAGACTGGCCTGGGGGGGGGGTTTCATCCTCAGGGCTGGAGTTAAGAGCAAGGGAAGATGTTCTTTCCTCTCTGGAGATCACGGGGAAGGAGTGGAAGAGGGGCTCTGGTCTGGCTGGCCCAGCCTGGGTGGTTTCCCGTGGAAGTTGGCTCCGTTCTCTGTTTACTCAGGACTTGGTGGTCCAAGCAGCTCTCAGAGCAGCCCCAGAGCTGGGATGGGGAGCGTGGGATAGGTCTGAATCCCTTCCCGTGCTGCTGCAGCAGCAGCACAGTGCAGAGGAAATTTGGTGCAGCCCCTCAGCTGAAACTGGGACCCTTTGTAGCCCCTCCAGCAAAAACCTTGTGAGCCCCTCATTGATTTCCCTTCTCCAGGTGACCCCCCCTGCTCAGCTCTCCCCAGGAGTGTCCTTGGTGCAGATTCCCTGTGAAGGGTGGGATAAAGCCCCTCTGTCTTTGGGGAAGCCTAGGGATATGTTTTCTAATCTCCCCAGACTTAGGCTCCCAAGTCGTCTCCTGAAAGCTGATCAGGAGGCTTGGGGTTCTTAGATGTGTTGGTGAGGATGACTCTTAAGCCAGGGCAGCTCTGCTGAGTGCGGGGAGGCTGAGGATTAGAGCAGGGCAGGAGACAAAAGACCCTCCCCAGGCTGGCTGCCACACCAGCTGCTCCATGGGGTGTGCCCACGTCCTTTCTCCTGCTGCTGCAGAGCCTGGGGTGATCCCTGAGCAGGGCACAGCAGCTCTGTCCTGCCCAGCCTGGCTCCATGCCCCTCTGCAGGAGTGCAGCAGGTGAGTGCTGGACCTCCCATCAAAGAGAGGAGGAAAACAACACCAACAACAAAATATAGTCCACTCTGGTTTCTGCAGCTTTGGGGGAAATGTTTCGATTCTTGTGTCCAAATCCTCCCTCTGGGTCACTCCCTGCGCTGCCTTGGCAGGCCAGCAGGAGCCTGGGATGGGATTTGGGGTCTGGGGACCTGGGTGAGAGGCCTGGCTCAGGGGTTTTGTGCTGCACTGGTGGCACTGGGTGCTCAGTTTGCACTTTTGGGCTTCCCCCAGTCCCCCCTTTCCTCGTGTTACTGCCTGGCCTGGCTTCATAACTCGACAGTTCTGATAATGTCGTTCATTTTCAGCTGTGATATTAAAACAGCCCTGATTTGGCTTCCTTTTAACTGCAGAGCTCTGTAGGAAGGCAGGGGAGAGGAGGCAAAAGCAGGGATTTGTTGGGGGGCAAACAAAACCCCAACCATCCCCCCCCTTTGTCCTTCCAGGTGAATTTTGCCTTCTGCAGGTGCCCGGGCTGAGCAGAATCCGCCTTTGGGGCTTTGTGGTCGCTGAGCAGCACTCGGTGCCCAGCCCGTGTCTGCGAGGCTGCTGAGACATCCAGGAGCTGCTCTGCCAGCTCATTTGCAAAACAGATCGGGTTGTGCTGCTGCTGCTGCTGCTGCTGCTGCTGCTGCTGCTGCTGCAAAGTCAGGGGGAGATGCTGCTGGCTGCTCCCACCTCGGGGTCCTGGCTCTGTTCGGGACACGGGGTTTGGGTGCAGCTCCGGGGCTGGTTTGGGAGTGCAGGGTCCTGGAAGGGCTGGGCAAGGGACAGGGGGGTCTCAGAGCTGTGCTCAGGGTGGGAGCTGGGACTTAATTGAGTAATTAAAACAAAGAGGGACCTGCCCAAAGATTGACTTCTCACGAGGCTGAGCTGGGAAATCAGAAAATCAGAGTTCAGTTCTCTGCTCTGCTCCCGGCTCAGTGCATTTGGGGTTGGATTCCAGCTTTGTGACGATCTTGGTGCTGATCTTTATTCCCTTTTTTCCTTGCTGTGTCTCTTGTTGGTTTGGTCCCCACACTTCTGGGGGCAGAGGCGTCTGTGCCACACTGCAGGGCTCTGCCTTCACTGCAGAAAGAAACAAAAAAAGAGGAAATGTTTCATTCGGAGATGGCACGGAAAATCTGGCAGCCCAAATTCAGCCTCGGTTGGTTTTGTGGGGGATTTGGTGCTGCGGGATGAGGTGAAGCTGGGAGGATCCCAGGGGATAAATGTGGGGTCTCTGGCCTGCAGGACCCCTCTGTCCCCCAGTGCCACCTGGCACACCTGGGGGCTCACCTGGGGGCTCACCTGGGGGCACAGGTGGCAGGGACTGGTGTCAGCTCAGGGCTCCTGCGTGGTCCTGCCCTGAACAGGGACTGGGAGGGACATGGGGCTGCTGGTGGGAGTGGGAATGGCTGGGAATTAACTGGGAATGGCTGCGAATAACTGGGAATATCTGGGAATAACTGTGAGTGACTGGGAATTAACTGGGAATGGATGGGAATAACTGGAATGGCTGGGAATTAACTGGGAATGGCTGGGAATATCTGTGAATATCTGGGAATGGCTGTGAATATCTGGGACTATTTGGGAATAGCAGAGAATATCTGTGAGTATCTGGGAGTATCTGGGAATGGCTGTGAATATTTGGGAATAGCAGGGAAAATCTGTGAATATCTGGGAGTATCTGGGGATGGCTGTGAATATCTGGGAATATCTCTGAATATCTGAGAATATTTGGGAATATTTTATGAATATCTGGGAATATCTGGGAATGGCTGTGAATATTCGGGAATATCTGGGAATATCTGGGAATAGCAGGGCCCCGAGCAGTGCCTGCTGGCAGATGGGCCCGGGGGTGGGAGAGGAGCAGGGCTGGGAGCTGGAGGTGCCTCGGCAGAGCTGTGAGAGCCAGGAATGTTCAGTGCTCGCATTCCAAGTGCTGTCACATGGAGCCCGTGCTGCTGTCAGCAGCTCTTTTCCATGGAGACTCCTCTGCTCCAGCCCTGCTGGGAGCACCGGGGCTCGAGTGGCTCCAGAGCCACAAATCCTGCCTGGGAAAGGGTCAGGAAATGAAATCCTGGCCTCCAGCACTGAGGGTTGGTGGTGTCGGGGAAAGTCTTGCAGGAAAATGAGGGTGAAGGATGGAGCAGGGCTGGGAGGGGAGCTGGGGGCGCTGGGTACCTGTGGGGAGTGATGGAGGGGGAAACTGAGGCAGGAGTGAGGAAATTCCCTCCAGGGACAGGCTGGAAAAGGGAAACTGAGGCAGGAATGAGGAAATTCCCTCCATGGACAGGCTGGAAAAGGGAAACTGAGGCAGGAATGAGGAAATTCCCTCCAGGGACAGGCTGGAAAAGGGAAACTGAGGCTGGATCTCTTGTCTAAAAGTCATAAAAATCTGTTAAGAATCTAA